CAAGAATGTCATGAGAATGACAAGATTTCTCCCCAAATCCCACAAAAATGACACATTAGGCTGTCTTTACAGCATTGTAGGATTTCTCTAGCCCATAGCTCCAAGCTTGTCCACATTTTTCCTGCAAGCCAATTCCAAAGACCTACGCACCACATGGTCAGGTTTACCACAGCAACAGCCTTACTTCTTGGTACCAATTTTCTGTCTTAGTCTCTTAGTTTCTTGATAAAAAACAGTTTAAGGAAGGAAGTGTTTATTCTGGCTCATGGTTCCAGGATGGAAACCCATCATGGTGGGGAAGGCACGATGACAAGAACAGCTGTGGCTGTGGTGGCAGGAGCAGGAGGCAGCTGTTCACGCTTTGCCATCGTCAGGAGTCAGAGGGAGACGAGTGCTGGTGCTCCGTTCACCTTCTCTCCGCTTTTTACTCAGTTCAGGACCCTAACCCGTGGATGCTGCTGTCTACATTCAGGGTGGGTCTTCCCCCTCAGTTAAAGCTTTCTGGCAGTGCCCTCACAGACACGTTCAAAGATATGTTTCCTTGGTGATTCTGAATCCAGTCAAGTCGATAGCACTAGTCGTCATAAAGCATTAGCATAGGAGTGAAGCAGCAGGTGCTGGTGCAGAGACTGCAGTGTAGCAAGCTCTCCAGAATATCCATCTAGAACGACTGGAGAAGCTAGCCTCACCTAATAATGAATGCTCAGTGTTGAGCAAAGAGCCTTCTGTTGGAAGGCCGGGGAACCTTGGGCTATCATAGCTACAGAGGAAAGAAGTCAATCCCTGGTCAGCACAGACATGTTGACTCTTGTTAGAGGTGATTGCAGCTGGTGACTTTAGGTCGAAGCTGATGCTCGCTGACCATTCTGAATGTCGTAGTGCCTTAAGAATTATACCCAGTCCATGCTATGTGTGGTGTGCAAATGGAATGCTTAGATGACAGTAAGTCTTTTGCAACGTGGCTTAAATTTAAGCCCATTTTGTGGTGGTTTGAATGAGAATATCCCCCACAGGCTCCAAGTATTTGAGCATTTTGTCCCTAGTTGGTGGCACTGTTTAGGGAGGTCTTAGAAGGTGTGGCCATGCTGGAGGAAGTGTGTCACTGGGGACAGGCTTAGAGAGTTCATAAGCCTTGCCAGATCTTCAGTCTTGTTTCCTGTGCCTCCTTGAAGATGTGAAGCTTAGCTTCCGCTCCTCCACCAGCCACCTCTGCCGTTGCCACCATGCCTCCTGCCATGATGGACTGACTCTTGCCCTTTAGAACCATAAACTAAATAAACTCTTTTATAAGTTCCCTCGATCATGATGTTTCTATCAGAGCAACAGAAAAGTGACAAATGCATCATTGATGAAAGAACAAGATTCTTTTCAAAGAGACCATTGAAAAAAGTCCTCATTGACATACTGCCCATTGACAAAGTACCAGTCTCCAAGAGCTGAGGTGGAGATGTATGCTGAGTTTGCTGCTGTTTTTATGGCTGATGACACAATAACCATTCTGCATCCTGTAGATCAAGGAGTCACTTCAACACTCACTTGGTATTATTTAGGAAATACATCTTGTAAAGCTACAGCTGCCACAGACCGTGATTCCTCTGGTGGGTCTGGGTAGAAGATATCAACAGCCTATGGAAAAAACTCTCTGTTCTATGCATCATGAAGAGCACTGGTGGTTCATGGGAGGATATCAGAACATCAGCCTTAACTGGAGCTTGAACAAGCTGCCGCCAGACCTCATGGATGACTTTGGAGTGGGGGTGCTGAAGACCTCAGTAGAGGGAGTCACTGAAGACGTGGAGAAGAGGCAAGAGAACTGGAAATAGCAGTGGGGCCTGAAGCTGTTCCTGGAACCCAGGCCAACCAACACCTTGATTACACCTGTCCAAAGGATGAAGTTAAACCATACCAAGTGCTTGGCCCATGGAAAATGTGAGATAAGAAATGTTTAGTTTTTGACTATGCATTTGTGATAACATTAGGCAGGACAGCTAGCTGATATGTAGTTCAACTTCACTGCTTGGCCTACTTGGCATCAGACGTGGCCTTATGAATAAATTCTAATGGCAAGACAACAGCATGCTGTGGGTCATTCCAGGCCAAGGGTATTGGGTAGGTCATGCCTCCCTGTTGTCTCCCATTTGCAGCTAGACCATGGAGGAATCGACATTGCAGACAAGAACAATGTCATCGGTCACGGTAAGGAAGTAGGATGGAGGGAGTACCTGTCTGAGTTCTCTGTTGATGTAACCAAATACTCCAATCTGAGTGATTTATAGAGAATTGATGTTTATTTGCCTCATGGTTCTGGGAAGTGCATGAACATGGAGCTGGTGCTGTGAGGACCTTGTGTTGTGTCAACATGTGCTGGCATCACAGAGACAGATCGAGTCTCCAACTGCCACTCCCATCACAAGGCCGCTCCCCAGTAACCATGAATCATTTATATACAAGTGGCTTAACCTATTCATGGAGGTGGAGCACCAGTGACCCAGAGACCTTCCTCTTGTAGGTCCACCTGGCAGGACAGTTATACTGGGAGCCAAGTTTAGGGGATACATCCAAACCATATCTCTACCCTAAATATGACTCAAGCTGACCGTGAGGGGTGATGTACAGCCAGCCCACCTGGTGGGGCCCTGGGTCTTCAACTTTGGAGTGTGGTAGGTGAGGAAATAGTCACTCATAACATTTAAGATGCTGAACTCATCAAAGAAGCTTCTTTTGGCAGCAGTTGGAGACTATTACAAAGTTCCACAACTGGTCAAATACAGAGAATAAGTGTCTGTGAGATGCCCAGTCCTGAGTGACACATCTACAATGCAATCTCTACTTCTAAGGCTCTGGGAACATTAAGGAAGAGGGGGTGGAAAGAGCAAGAACCAGAGGACCAGACACCTGCTGCTAGTTACTGCATTCTAGACATGGCAGGGAGGCCGTGCCCATGAAACCTCCACAGTGTGGTCGTCTAACAAGATCTGCACACTGACAAAAACAGTTGACATACCAAGGTAGATGGGGAATGTTACTGGATCCCACCGCAAGACGAAGAGCTACAGACAATCAGTGGATGTGGAGGGAGGAGAATCAGTTTCTCTAGGGATGAGGTCCCTGAGAGGTTATCTAATCCTGAGTGGGCAGCCTGAAACACAGGTACACAGGTGTGCCACTAAAGGGACTCAGTGTATCATATATATATAAATGTATGTATAGTAACAATAATCAAAAAGACGAGATTGAGAGGAAGCAGGGGAACATGGGAGGGGATGAAGGAGAACTTGGAGAGATGGCACTAATGCAAAGATAATCCTTAGATGAAATCTCAAAAATAAAATTAGATAAGATTTGGGATCACTATTAGATTTTCTGCGAGAGCAGCTAGCCTACCAATTTCCTTAAGAAACAAACCAGGGGGCTGGAGAGATGGCTCAGTGGTTAAGAATACTGGTTGTTCTTGCAGAAGACCCGGGTTCGAATCCCAGCACCCACATGGCAGCTAACAACTGTCTGTAATTCCAGTCCCAGGGGATCTGACAGCCTCTTCTGTCCTCCACGGGCATTGCATGACACAAGTGCATTTACCTACATGCAGGCAATACACTCATACACATAAAAAAATCCAAACAAACCATACTGTCTAAAGAAGAAAAATCAAAACAACTGACAAACAAGGGCTCATCGTAAGAAAATAAATACAATAGCTTCCTAAAAGATGATCAGCCGCTGCATCTTATTGCAAGGGGAGCAGGGTCTGTTTTCTCTGAAACACTTTTTGTGTTTGACTAGCAAGGTCAAAAGGCTTATTCTCAAGTTTGGCCCTAGTGTATGGAAACTTTTTCAGTACTGAGGATCAAAGTCAGGGCTCTACCCACACTAAGCAAGTGGTATACCACTGAGCTACATCTCCAGCCCCATCTCCATTTTTTTTTTGAGATATCTGCTAAAATAGTCCAGGATGGCCTCAAACTTGTGATCTTGACTCAACCTCCAAAGGACTGAGATCACAGGCATGAGCACCTGGGCCTGGCTGGAACTTTCTTATGTCCCATTCTGTTGATAAGAATATAATCCTGTGTGTCTTCTTGAAAACACGTACATACACAGAATATAAAAGTATACATTGGGCATACAATAGCATAAATTCTTCTCATGTGCAAATATGCTATGTAGTTCCAAATTTTAAATATATGAATAATCATAATTTTCTCGAAGTAGGTAAATTGTAAGGAACTCTTCACCAGTGATAGAATATCTGGGGCTAAGGTGAAGTTTTCCCTTTTAATTTCTTGATCAGATTATCTAAAGCGGGAAGACCTGCCCTAAATGTGGGTGGCACATTCTGGTGGCAGCCCAGATAGAAGGACGTAGAAGAAGGAAACAGCTTTTTGCTGCTTGCTTTCACTCTCTCTGGAAAGTCCTGTCTGTGGCTGCAATGTCCCTTCACTGATATTACAACCCGTTTCTTCAGGCTTCCAGTGTAGACTGAAGACCAGCAGTTCTCCAGGAATCCTTCAGTGCTCCAGCTCCAAATCGGTGCTGTGGAGACATCCAGCCTTGTGGATTGAGAAACTATTGGATTTTTAGCTTTGCTAGCGTGAGACAACCATTGTTGGACTACCCAGTGTGTAAGCCAATCTAGTAAATCCCATACATATGTACACACACACACACACACACACACTAAAGTGTAATAAAGATAAGTCATTCACAAAAAGACAAACGCTGTACGATTCAAATTATGAGATGTCTAGAGTAGACAAGTTTGTGGAGACAGAAGCAGTGGTCATAGAAAGTCACTGTCTAATGGGGACAGGGCTTGAGTTTTTTTAATTAATTTTGTTCAATATGTCAATGGCTTTATTGACCCCTCTTTCTGGGGTGTGGCAGGTAAAACTTCTTAGCAAGAAAGCCGGAAGGGAAGCTGAGAAGCTACGGTCGCAGCATGGGTCGTTAAAGGGGTACAGAGAGCGTCCTGCGTCTCTTGGGAACCCCCTTCCCATCCAAATAGAATGGAATGGCTCACAAATGAGTGTGTTATCCTTGCACTGGGGTCATGCTGATCTTCTCTGTATCGTTCCAATTTTAGTATATGTGCTGAAGTGAGCACAAGGCTTCAGTCTTATAAGGTAAGAAAATTCTGGAGGTGGGTGATATCAATGGCTGTGCAGTGGCATGAATACAGTTAAAATGAATGAGTTGAGAGGGTAAAATGCTAAATTCTATTTTCTGTGTTTTAAATATTTTATTATTTTTATTTATGTGTATAAGTATATTGTCTGCATATATGTAAGTATGACCTGTGTCATATAATGCCTGTGGAAGTCAGAAGAGGGTGTCAGATCCCCTAGAACTGGAGTTATGGGCAGTTGTTTGCCACCATGTGTGTGCTGGGAATTGATCCTGGGTCCTCTGCAAGAGCAGCCAGTGCTCTTAACTACTGAGTCATCTTTCCAACCTCTAAATTCTATTTTCACACAAACAAGAAACCCCAAACAAAACCAACTTATAATAGCAATGGATATGTAGCACAATTACAGTTCAGAAAACCGTGTATGCTAGTATACTAAACTGGGGCTGGGGAGCGGGCTCAGTCTGTACAGTGCTTGCCTTCAAGCAGGAGGACCAGCGTTTAATCATCAGTACCCATGGGAAAGGCCAGGCTTGGTGGTACATACTTGTATCCCAGTACTGGGGAGGTAGAGACTGGAGGGTCCTTCTGGTGTGCTGGCCATCTGGCCTAGTTGTATCAGCAAACTCCGGGCTCAGTGAGAGAACTTGCCTCAAAAAATAAGCTGGAGTGAGTGATGGAGGAAGACACTGGACGCTGGCCTCTGGCCTACAGACACCACACACACGTACACAGGATATACATAGATGGTTGACAGTGGAGAGAGTGGAAAGTGGATGGAGATCTACTGTTTTGTTATGCGCCTTCTGGTGTTACTCAGAATTTTTATTATTGGGTTTAAACAATTTTCTAGATTTATTCAATTTTATTTTTATGGGTATGTGTGTGTTACTTTAAAAAATATTTTATGGGCCAGGCGTGGTGGCACATGCCTTTAATTCCACCACTCAGGAGGCAGAGGCAGGCAGATCTCTGTGAGTTCAAGGCCAGCCTGGTCTACATAGTGAGTTCCAGGACAACTGGGGCTACAGAGAGACCCTGTCTCAAAAAGACCAAAAAAAAAAGAAAAAAATGTATTTTATGAATTATTTTTATTTTATGTGTATGAGTGTATTGCCTGCACGTGAGTGCACCTGTGTCGTGCAACGCCGCAGAGGTCAGAAGAGGGCATCGGAGTCCCCTGGAACTGGCATTAAGGACATTTCATAGCCACCTTGTGGATGCTGGGAATTGAGCCTGGGTCCTCTGCAAGAGCAGTCAGTGCTCTTAATCTCTGAGCCGTCTCTCCAGCCCTGGGTATGCCTGTGTAAACGTAAGTGCACAATGTGCATGCAGTGCTCATGGAGGTCAGGAGAGAGTGTCGTATACCCTGGAAATGGAGTTACAGATGGATGTTAGGTGCCACGTGGGTGCTGGGAACAGAACCTAGGTCCTCTGCAAGAGCAGCCAGTGTTCCTAACTGTTGAGCCGTCCCTCCAGCATCTGAATCTTTAGATGCAGAACAGCCAGAGAAAATTGTGAAATTTAGTTGGTTTGCATCTGAATGACTTGATTTAATATACAAAACAGTAAGAGGCTTCAGTGTGTCTAAAATGACAAGTAGAGCAATCATTTAGAAATCACTTGCAAAAAAAAAAAAGAAAAAGAAATTGAACACACAGAGCTACTTCTTGGTAGGGACTGTGGCTTGTATTTATTTCAAGCCTCCCATGGAATCTGATAAATTCTAGGCATTATCAAGCAAAAGCCAAATAAATCTCTGTTGGGTAAAATGTAGTTCCACGATCTATTTTCACAGCTAATGTTGGCTGTAGATAACATGGTTTGTTCATTTCCACTACATTGACCTTTGCTCATCAGTTTCTTGCTAATAATGAAGTTACCTCAGCGGCTAAAAGGAACATTAAATTAGACTTTGCCTTTAGGGAAAGACAGGCAGGCATCTGTTTGTTCACCTTGCCTGGTGGCTGTGCAGAACAGCACTGGATTGGTTGCTCCCATGTGTGTCTGGGGCGGGGGTGATGGTGTGTTGCTCCCACGTGTGTCTGGGGGGTGATAGTATGTGAATGGCAGCTGGTGGGAAGCAGGAGGCACCCAGAATTGCCACCCGCCAATGAAGGAAGGGTCCTGTCCCAGGCACACTGTCACCACTGTGCGTTCCCTCTGTGCTGGCCGTGTACCCTCACACTGCTGCAGAGGTTCCCTCAGACGTGTCTATTCCAAACCTTGAGCTAATTTGGAAAAGCAGTCACTGCACCCCCATTTGCCCTTCGCACTAGAGGTGGAACTAGGCTGTCCCTCACCTTGTGGTTGTCTGTGCACTGCAGGGGGCTAAGCAGCCTCCCAGGGTCCGCCTGCTGTATGCCAGTGGCATCCCTCTCCTCCCCCTAGTCATGCCAACCAAAGATACCCCCAGACACTGTCAAATGTCCCTGGTGGTGGTGGTGAACTCTCTGAGAACCATCCTTTCAGTGGGTGGGCTGGGAAGGGGACTACCACATCTGCAATACTTGGGCTCCTGGACCTCGCTCCAACCTGCCCACAAGCTATGACCCTCCCCTGCAAAGGCCACAGGCCCAGCGGAAGGTCCCAGGCCATTTTCCAATGAGCTGGTGTGGATGGGGTTCTTGCACTAATATGGGCTGGGAATATCCCGGGTGTGGAACAGCTGTGCTGAGAGGCACAGGAGCTTGAACAGCTTTTGCCAGATGGCTTACATTCTTGCTGCGACTTGCCATGAGTCTGTGGTGCACTGGGGACTGTGGCTGAAGAGTTCAGCATGTAAGCTTCAGCTTGCTTTCAGAATTAGAAGTCAGTGAGGTAGGTCTGTACCCACTCGGTGGGTGTAAATGGGAGAGTTGTAGATGAAGAGATGGGTTGAGCAGCAGATCTGTAGGGGAGGCACTGAGTACATACAGGTGTTTGGGGACCTGGCTGGCACCCCAGGCAGGCAGCCACAACCTCCCAAGTCGTCCTAGGAAGGTGGATGCCATCCTTACATAGTGAGGGCCTCTTGGCAACAGGTAGTAGCAACAGAGCCAGGACCTACCCATAAGTGAATGCTGAGGCCATTGAGTCCCAAGTGTGGCCTGGAGATCTGACATTTCCCTGGAGCTGGCCTTGGAAGAGCTGTGGGAGGGGTCCTGACAGTGTGGCAAAGAGCTTCCCTGTGTGTGTGTGTGTGTGTGTGTGTGTGTGTGTGTGTGTGTGTGTGTCGGCGCGCGTGTGCATGCTATGTTGGGGTTGTTGGGGAGGGTGGTGTGTTGTGCTCTGGAGGAGATGGCCCTCTGACACTGGGAAGTTGTTCTAGAATATCTTAGAAGACAGTTGCTTACCTGAAGGACACAGACAAAAGTTAAATATATATATATATATTTTTTTTTTGGTCTTTTTGAGACAGGATCTCAGAGATTGGCCTGCCTCTGCCTCCCAAGTGCTGGGATTAAAGGCATGTACCACCACACCCAGAAAAAGTTAATGTTTTAAAGTTCAAAATTCAAATGCCTCGGAACCCCAGAGTGGAAAGCAAGTGCCCAGACCCCTCTTCTTCAGTGGATACAAAGTGCACAGGACAATGGGCTGGAGAGATGGCCCAGTGGTTAAGAGCACTGGCTGCTCTTGTAGAGGACCCAGGTTCAAATCCCAGAACCCACATGGTGGCTAAAAAATGTCTGTTACTCCAGTTCAAGGGGCTCCAACGCCCTCTTCTGTCCTCTATGGGCACTGCATGACATGGGTGCACTTACACACATGCAGGCAATACACTCATACACATAAAAATAAAGTGCATAAGACGAAAGAGGGTTAGATGCACATGCCATTATCTGGTGTGTGCTGTGGGAAGTGGAGGGCTTTCCGTGGACCCTTGGGGCAGCCCTGGGCTATGCAGACCCCTGTTCAGTCTACAGTCTCTGAATGCTAGAGATGCCATCTCATTGCTACAAAAGAGCAGGAACATTCTAGATCAAAGATCCTTGCTCCTCCTCCCTGCCCCCACCCCTGCCTCCTGGTAAAGGGCTTCTGTGTGAGTCCACATGTGAGTATTTCTGTTGGTATTTGTTCAGGGCTGTCTGTTTACAGATTTGGACAGACCCTTCAGGAAGAATTCCCTTATACAGTCAAGTGTCTATTTCCAGCATACACAGGACTCATCAGACAAGCTCTCCCAGGAATACAGATCCGGGTGTGTGAGTTCTCAACGGCTGGGTTCTGTTTGGGGGACTGATGTAGGGAGAACAGTCATCGCAGCAACGAGTGGGAAGGGAGCTGCTTCCCCATCCTACTTTTTATTCTGAGTGCTGCTGCCTGCAGGAGAAGTTTCTGGAAATGGAATCCCGAAGTCTAAGACCGAATACATTTAAGGCTTGGGATAAAAAAACAAATGGGTCTCGGGCGGGTGATCAGCTAAAGTCCTCACATATGCACAAGCATCTGGCAACCTTACCTCAGGGTGGACCTGCAGGTGGGAGAGCTGGTGGATGGGGACGGCTTGGTCCATTGTAGGAAGCCCCCAGCCTCGGAGTCCATGCTGTGTGGCCTTTCAGCAGAGGGATGTCTCCTCCCAGATATGTGGCCTCTGCCCTTCATGGGCACAGCCCCGCTGCACCTGAAAAGGCTGACAGGTTCCCACCAGGGTCCAGCTGGTTCCAAAGCTAACCAGTCATCTCCAACCTTTTGACATTGCTGCATGATGCTGCCTTCTACACAGTGCAGACCTGAGAACTGTGTGTGTTATTGGGTACTTTACTGTTGTGATAAAACACCACGACCAAGGCAGCTTATAGAAGGAAGAGTTTATTTGGGTTTATGGTTCCAGAAGGACTCTAGAGAGTCCATCGTGATGGGGGAAGCCTGGCAACAGGAGGCGGCTGGAACAGGAAGATGAGAGCTCACATCTCCAGGTGCACACAGGAAGTAGACCGAGATCAACTGGAAGTGAGACCAGGCTATGAACCCTCAAAGCCCGCACACAAGTGACA